ACTTTAATTCGTTAAATGTAGTATGAATTTTTAATTACTAAATTCAGTATAGTAAGGGTTTTTTTATATTTAAAAATTTGTCTGATACTGAAAATCCGTTGTATTATAAAATTCGTTATATCAAAATTCGTTGTAGAAAGAATTGACTGTATATAATTTTTTTTTAATAAAATACTTTAAAATATAATTATATTAAATTTAAATTTATTTAAATAATATTTGATATTATTATTAATATTATACAATAATAAGTTTATATAGAAACAAATTGTTAAGTAATAAATATAAAACTATAATTTTAAAATAAATAATAATTTATTGATAATAAATGATTAAAATAGATAATTAAAAAAAAAATACATAATAATTATTAAAGAATAAATACATAACAGTTATTATTTTGATTATAATTAATTGAGATTTTTTTATATCTTTTTTATTAAATTTATTAATTATATTAATTATATTAAATATATCAATATAATAAATATATTAAATATATTAACTTTATTTTAAATATATATTTATTATATCATTTTGATTACATTATTAATATTTAGTCATAATATTTATAATAATAAATTTATTTTAATATTTTTTTTTTAATGTTTTTTTATATCCTTTTTCTTTTATTTTAAACCTTTATTATAATAAATAATATTATTAAATTCATAATCACTAAATATATTATTAATAATAATATTTAACTTTTATTTATTATTTTTTTCTGTAAAATATTATAACATATTAAATTATATTATAGATTTCTATTTGATGTAAATATTGTAACATTATTATATCTAAAAATCAATAAATATTTCTTTTAATCAATCTTTTTTTTCTTTACTAAAAAATTCTTGAATTATATAAAGTGGAATTTTATATAAAAGTTTTCTGGATTAAATCAAAAGTATGTTTTGCATGAAAGTTTTAACTTTAAGGTAAATCGGGTACTCTTTATATTTTATTATGGTGATGATAATTGATTTTCTTTTTATGAAAAATTTACTACTAATCGTGTATATAATAAATTAAAGGTCTGTTCAGATTATCGAAATTATATTAAACTAAATTTTCCTGTGCTGTTAAACTATTAAATTTCATTTTATAATATATTCAGTCCTTTCTTTTTATAATGTATAAAATGAAGAATGTTCTTTAATAAAACCAAAAAATTTGACAATAAAATATTTTACGATGAAGTGAAAATTGGATTTAACCTATCGACACTTTAGGGGAAAAAGTGGAAATGTTGACCTTCGCCACCTTCAGAAGCTCCAAAAGGAAATCCACTAAATTGAAATCCTCCAGTGAATTGCATAAACGGATTATTATCATTATAAAAGAATGGTTGTCCTCCACCATTTGGATCATTTGGATCATCTCCGTTATCGAATTTAGCTCTTAATTCTAAATACATAAAAAACCATTTAATTTAAATTATTAATTTATTAATGTAAAAATTTTAAATCTTACCATCATTATTTAATACTTCATAAGCTTCATTAATAGTAGACATTTTAGCCTGAACTTGATCGGGTGTCAAATCACCCTTATATTTATCAGGATGCCATTCTTGAGCTAATTTTCTATAAGCTTTTTTAATGTCTTTTTTACTTGCCGTTCTTGATACTCCTAACACTTTATAATAATCTTTTTTCTTTGATTGTTTAAGCATACGGCTTGCTTTTTGGTATCCGACTTTTGCTCGATCATCTTGTCCTTGTGTTAAATCATGTGCTTTCTTAAAATCTTCCATTGCTCCCTCATAATTTTCTTCCATTAGATATGCTTCACCACGATATATCAAAGCCTCTGCATTCCTTTCATCGAATTTCAATGTCTCACTACACCATTTACATGCATCTTTAAATAATTTGCCTTTGTTCTTCGTCTATTAAATTAAATGCAAGTTTTAAAAGAGAACTTTAACATATTAATAAAAAAGAAAATTTTATATTATTTTACCTCTCGTTTTGCTGCTTCGCCGAATGCTTTACATGCCCAACCATATAATTTAGTTAATAATTCACTCTTTTGTCTACCTTCCGATAATGTTATTAATTCTTCATCAACTTCTTTAATAAGACCTTTAGATTCTTTTGTACCGAATAACTTTTTAGTAGCTGATAAGAATCTTTGTCCTTCAATATCTTTTGAAACCTTTTCTACACCATCTTCGAATTTTTTAATTTTTCTATTAAGTTTTATACATATTTTATTATCTGGATCGTTTCTTGTACATTGTTTAACATATTGTATTGATTGTACAGGATTATACAATGTAAAATAATTAAGTTTAGCGAGACGGACCAAGAGATCTAAATTGTTTGGATTCAGTTGTGAAGTTGACCTAAGAAATGTAAAGAATAAAGTTTAAGTAATTCATCGGAAAATATTAATAATAATAAAAAAAGATAATACTTACGATAAATCTCTGACGCCTTCCTCTATTTCGCCTTTTGCCAAATGGCATTCCGCCCTCATTAACCTTAATTGACCCGAACGCTGTGAAATTATTATAGCCTTAGATACTAAATCAATACATTCATCATAATTTTCCTTAGCGAGGGCGTTTTCGGCATCTCTTATCAGCTG